TTTGCCATCCCTTCTTTCAGTTTGACTAATTAAGAATTGATAGGTTTTTTTTAATGTTACTAAAAATGTACCATTGATTAGTCTTGGCACAACAGGATTGAAGGGGAAACAAAGAAGTGTAAACTTTACCGAATACCAGATTGACTTGTTCCAGTTTTCTCTGGATTTTTATCTTCCACTTGATGCTTGCTTCTGGATATAGCATCTTTTAAGAGTTATGTTTTAATCTGCTGAGACCTTGCTAACTCAGAGTGGCGCTTAAAGCAGTCTTGTGAATGATCTGGGTCGGATCCTGCTAGGTCCTCTTTGCTGGTACTGACTGTATCTTTAGGCTTCAACTGCTCAAGTCTCAGCTGGGAGCTCCTCAAACAATCTGCCACCATCATTAGGAAGGGCAGGCAGGGCCTGAGTATTTGCATCTCTTGGGTGGTCCTAACAGTGCTGAGGCAGGCCCTCAAAGACTTAGGTCCCTTGCTAAGAGATAGGAGCCCCCCTGGTCTCAGACTAAGTTCATTATTTTACCTAGTTAAACTTTGTTCTTCTTCTTCAGCTCAATCCATCCCTCAGTGGTGTCTCCTGGAAGGACTTCATTAATCAATTATTTAACCTCTAAGACCTTGGCTCAGTGTCTGCTTTGGTGACAGCCCTTTGAGATGGCCCTCTTTCCTGAATCAAGCCCTGTTTTATCTGCAACAATCTAGAATTAGAAGTGGACTCCCCTTTCTAGATGAGGAGGACTTTAAGCTCTATCTTTGCCTTTATAGAAAGAGTGTTAGCAACATTTAAGTGGTTTTTTTCAGAGTATTAAATAAATATCTGGGGCTGCTGATAAAGGACATTTTTAGAATGTAAATCCAGAGTAAATGGGGAAACTCCTGAGAAGTAAATTCTGTGCAGCCATTCATCGCGTGCTTTCCGTGTTCCAGATGCGCAGTGCTTTTACGTGTATGGCTCATTTCATTCTGACAATTAACTGATTAGCCTGCAAAATTAATGGTGTGATTGTAAAGATGGGGAAACTAAGGCATGGACATTTTAGTAACTTACATGATCATACAGCTCATAAGTAGCTCTACCCACTTCAGAGATAAGAAATCCCCAAGTTTCTGGAAGATTATGAGCCCCATTTTGTAGCTTTGTAATAATTTGAGATCAACACCTAGGAGCAAATACACACACGCACATACACATGCACACATACACTGACTTCTGTTCAACACAGACGCTTCTGGTACCATGGATGAGACAAGGACAAGAGCATTGTCCACAGTGGAGCAAGACAGGAGGACATTTTCCTGTTCCGTGTCCTATAGGGGAAGGGGTGAAGGTGAGGGCTGTAACTCTCTGTTGTCCCCAGAACAAAGCATGCCTGACAACTGCAGGGAGAGCCCCAGGAAGCATTTCAAAAGCTCTACTGGAACTAGACAACCTTTCAATCCATTTATCAAAGTGTCTGCAGTTCCCGTTTCAAGGTAGATGAAGCAATAATAAATTTGTGAAGAAAGTTAATCTGTGTCCAAAGCATTTTAGTAAATTAAAAAGGTTGGGGGGAGGGCTGGCTGGAAGGGGGATGTATCCCGTTCTTGCCAACTCCTATTTGACTTACTGTCTCCTTAATAAGTCGTCTTTGGTCCTGTGTTTTTGGATGGAATAATCAGTCAGTTAATCATTTTCCGGAAGCTGGAAAATGCACTTAAGCTAATGCAGTTCGCCTTTTCTTTCAGAGTCCTAATTATTTAAAAAGGCTCCCTGATCCATGGTCCCACTTCCCAACCAAGAAAACCTTCCCCACCCATCACCTTGTACCCACTACCCTGGCCCTGCTCCTACCTTGTGCTTTTCTCCTAATGTTTTAAAAAAAATCCCCTTCTGGTCACTTCTGAGCCTTTCCACAGGCTGCTTCCCTTGTGAAGCATAAAGCAGTAAAACTCAAACAAGCAATTGGCTGGAACTAGCCTCTTAGGCATAATGGATAGATTTTGTTATTTTTATTTAAGTGTCAGCCGAAAATGGTGGTTCTTGTCTCTCTCAAGGATTGTACTTAACAATAGCTTCATGCTTGGGCATCACGCTGAGATAAACACACTATTAAGAACCCTGACAAAGGCCCTAGAATAATGGGGAAGGGATGGTTACCGAAAAACAACCAAGCGCCCAGCCCTGAGTCCTCCTCCACGCCCCGTCAGTAACACCATTAACACTGTCAGTTTGTCAGCCCACTGGAGGTGTTTATGAAATCAATATATAATCCTGAGGAGGCATGGCAGTGGTATTGTTAGCCGGGGAAGAGGAGCTCAATGGAAAATAAAATTAATAAGCTTTACAAGCAGATTGTCATGGGGCACAGATAAATTTCCTACCATCCGCAGTTTTACTCTGTTAGGGCCAGAGAAGCAAAAAGCAAACTGTGCCTTACACCGGGCTGCTTACAGCGAAGCTGGGCACATTTACAGGAAGAATGCAATGACCAGAGACCAGTGCTACTGTCCCGCGAAGTACAGGCTTGTGCCTGACTCACTGCCTGTTAGGCTGTCTGTCCTGAATGCTGCCAGATTTTTCTGCTTAAAATTCCCTCCCCTGCCTTCATCATAAGCCAGAATGTTTGTACAGTTGCTGTTCCTTCTGATATTTTTTAGGATTCATCCTACTGAAAACAGGCTAATGCATTACAGGAAGATGTACCCCTTCGAGCTTGCAGCCATGGTCAAAGCTGGCAGTTTTAAAACATCTCTCCTATTTGTTTCCTTTGCCCCTGCTTTTTCTTATCAGGTTTTTGTTAGACATTATAGCCAAAGCTCATCTCCCAGAGCAGCCAGAGATAACAGCCACGCCTGGGAGGGTCATGAGCAAGAGCACGAAGGCCCAGAGACCGGTCTTCAGTTACAGAAAAGACTGGCCATTGTGGCTGCCGCAGCCTCGGCTACAACCCAGATGCCTGGTGGAAATTGCATTAGTCGGATGACAGACAGGACCCGGGCCCCTTCTTTGGAGGCTGATGGAGAGCAGCTGAGTGGCCTGGGTGACACTGCCTGACCTCTGCTGTCATCGTGGGCTTTGTTCAGCGCCCCGACTCCAGGCTGGAGCCCTGCTCATTGAATCAGGCCTGGCCGGGGGAGTCTGAAATGGGGCTCATTGTGCATCTAAATTTATTTACATCAGATGCAGACAGGAGAAACTGGATTTGAGGTGGGGGACACCTTGTCCTTAGCCCCAGCAGCCTCTAGAACTCACGGCTGCAGCCCTTGAGGCTTGTCTTGAAGCTGAAGAGTAACCCCAAACAATCCCCAATGGTCATGAGTTTTAATCAGCAGCTCCAAGCTTGTGTGGATCCTCCCAGCAGGTGAGAGAGAAAAAGCACATGCCTCTCTTCTTTCTGTTTTCCCCCTTGAACGATGTTCAGTGAAACTGCCCAGCTTTTAGTAGAATGTGATTGGCCTCTTTTTCCAAATATACTTGTCACAATCAGTAGTCTTTGATGAGAATCTGTCAAAAAATCAGGTTGTCTATCAGTTAAATCTGTCACACTTGGCCGGGTGTGTTTATCCCATGACCAGTAAGTTCTCCTTCGAGGACCTTGTGCTAAGAAATAGCTACATAAGTCCCAAGAGTTTAGGCAGGGAAAGTTTCCTGTTTCTTTGCATGGCAGATAATTCCATGCCTGTCCAATTATTTGGGACCATATAGCCATCCACACACAATTTGATGATAGACAGCCATTAAAAATGTTGGTGTTAATATACTGGTAACAGTGTGGACAGCTGTTCTCAATATAGTAAGTAAAAAACAGTTTATAATAGACTGTATACTATGAGGTCATATTGGTGAAATTTATATGTGTTACTCCTAATTGGTAGCAGTAGTTATGTCTGAATGGTTAAGTTTTTTAATTCAAAAAAGGGGGGTTCTCTGTGTTCTTTTCAAAATAGCATATATGTACACCTATACACTGGTAGGTGTATTTGCATATATGTGTTTATCTGTAAAGAAAATATGAAGAGGTGACTGTTCCTGGAGCCCCACTTCTGCATGCTCATCCTTTTACCCAGTATTCCCTTTGGAGATGCTTCTGCAACCCATGGCTGGGCACAGGCAGCTTGAGTCACAGCATGACTGTCCTATGGCACCACTTCGTGTGCCGTGGAGGCCTGAGGGGGCTTTGCAGAGCGGTTACCCACTGAGGTCCTAGCAGGCTTGAGGGCTGAGTGAAAACAAGCTCATGCTTGGTGTAACAGATACTAATAGTATGCCCAGAAAACAAAACTGAAAAAGGCCTGCATCATTCTTAGGAAAACAAACACAGGCTTTAGGACACTTAAACCCAGGATAAAACTTGAGGTTGAGCCAGCTATGGGTCTCCACCCTCTATCCCTTACCCTCTTCAAAACAACATTTTGGTGCCACTCAATGCTTGATGAGGTGCCAGCGGGACCCCTCTTTTGGATGGGTTTGTGGAAACACAATTTAAACTCATCATGCTTGTTACTAAGAAGATCCAGGAGGTCTCCAGGGGTCTCTGGGACTCTAGAATAAGCTGAAGTGGTGACGGTCATCAAAAAATCCAGTGACCAGGCTCAGTTCTGAGCCTGGATGACAAAGGCAGAGAGCCTGAGCATCACAAGACAGCTGAGAGATGAGAGATTGAGTGGTGTTGACCCTGCATGGGGGAGGGATACCGTGGGGGGAGGGAGCCAAGGGGTCTTTTCTGAGAGGTGGCAAAACAGAGAATTGGATTCAGTGTATGCAACAAATAACCCAGCGTCTTGGCTCGTGGCCTGGAGGTGTGAGACCACCCACAGAGCCCGCCTGGTAACCATTCCAGCAAAGGCCATAGCTCGGAGAACAATGTGAACGCTTGTGGCAGCCTGGGCCTGAGACTAAACAGTCCCCCAAACACTTCTGACCCAGCGCAGAGGCAGCCTCCCAGGGTTTTTGTTATCATAATGAGATGCAGAGAAAGCTGGGCCTCTTTAACGTGGTTTGCCTCCTTTCTTCTTGTTTAGAGATCTGAGCGAAAACCAGATCCAGGGGATCCCGAGGAAGGCATTCCGTGGCATCGCTGACGTGAAGAACCTGTAAGTGCTGTTTTTGTTGCTTTCCTGCAGATGTAGGTCACTCAGGCTCTTTGGCCAGAGAGGGACGAGGGGTGGAGCAGGAGGGCAGTCAAGGCTTCTTTGGAGATTGAAGGCTGCATTTAAGTGCTTTCCACGATGGCCTCAGAGAGGCCGATTCCTCCTGGTTGTTCATCTTCAACCGCGTTCAGAGTTTGGCCTCTCCACTGATGGATGATGTTGGTGAGAGCCAGCTTTTTCCAGTGCCATTATTATCCTCTGTAAAATGGGCTGACAACCTGAGGAGGGTATTGGATGCAACAAAGCAAACATAAGACCTTACTGGGTGTCTTGTTCATAGTGAATGTTCAATACATTGGGAGCTGTGGTGGTGATCGTGCTGATGGTGATGATAATCTATCTCATGGTTGCTAACACGTTCCCCATGACCCGCTGTGGGAGAGCATCAGCCTTTATATCCCAAGACTTTGGGGAAATAGAGTCAAGTCCATTTCTATTGCATTAGATTTTTGCTTGTTCTTGACATTTTATTTTAAAATCGCTGACAGCAGAGAGCTTCAAAATACTGTAGACAGGCCTATGTATCATTCCCTCAATGGTAACTAACGCCTTACATAACCATAGTCCAATGGCAACTCCAGAAAACTCTTCAGAGGCAACTCACAGACTACTCAGACCTCTTAGTTTTGCACACATTCATTTGGTGCACAGCGTCAGCTGTGTGCAGTTCCACTGTGGTAGCTTCATGCATCAGCACTGCAGTCAAGAGGCAGAACTGTTCCACTGCTGCATATTTCCCTTGTCTTTTTTAATGTTTAGCTTTATGAATACATGTTTGCGGTACATCATGATTACTTTCATCATAGGAAGTTGGTACAGGTACATAATACTTCTTAATTGGTTTTTTCATCCCCTTTCCCCCACTGTTATATTTTAAAACTTACCAGATCATCTTGATTCTTCTACTTGACCTCACTATTTGCTCTTGATCAGGGAGATTCCTAGGCCCCTGTCTTCAAAGGGTGTGTGTGCTGTGAATGTCTACCCAGACAGCTACCCCCATGGATTCAGAGCATGTTTTTGGAGAGAGGCACAGAAGATGGGCTGATTTGGCTGAGCAAGCACGTCTGCCCACAAGCCTCCTCCACAGCCTCAAATTCAATTGGAAAAGTCTTAAAGGAAACTGAAAAAAAAAAAAAAACATCTGCATTAACTGTCACTTTTCCCCATAACGAATGGAGGAGTTTTAGTTTACTGGCATACCGAAGGGAAGCTGATGATGGCTTCCAGATGCAAGCTATCTCCCTCCCCTGTGGCTGGGGCCTTAGCGGAAAGCTTTTGGTATTTAACATGCAAAGCACATAAGAGAGCAGAGGCATGGAGGGTGGGGGCGGATAGAAGAGGAGGCAGAGATGACTTGCAAGGAGCCATAATCGTGGAGCGTGTGAGCTCAGTTGCAGGGCAAGAGTAGGCCTGACTGCAGAACTAACTTCCGGGTACGGTGCAGCTTCGAGGTGGAGTGTTTTCCCAGCACGGCCAAGGTCCTAGGTTTGACTCCCCAGAAGCACAAATACAAAAGAAGGAACTTCCTGACTCTGCGCACCTCCCCACGATAAGGAGACACACACAAAAACTCCTTTAAAACCACTAAGTAAAATAACCCTGGATACTTTCTCATTCTGGCTGGGCACTTTTAACATTTCAGAGGGCTTTTCTAGCGTTTTGCTTCTTGGATTCCAGGCACCGAAGGCACATAAACTAAAACCAACAGATTGTGTTAATTAGCACTGCAGAAAGTCAAGGCAATAGAAAAATAGAGGCCCAGAGAGGATCTGTGACTAATTCAGGGTCAAACAATTTCCTGAGGATTGAGCCCAAAATGAACATTTTATGAACGGGAAGTGATACATCTATTGGAGTCCATGATGCTAATTTGTGTGTGTTTGTGGATTTGCCTGTTTATGGTGCTGGGATCGAACCCAGGGCCTTGTACATACTTGGCAAGCACTCTACCGCAGAGCTACACCCCCAGCTCATAATGCTGATTTTAAATGAAACAGTTAACAAAAAGGCATATTATGGTGATATAGAAGCACGGTGGTGTAATTACCACCTACACCGTTAATTCTCAGGGGTTAAATCGTAAAGTGGCTCTCAATAGTTGCTGGGTTTTCTTAGGTTCCTCCCCACTTGTAATATCTGTAGTCATGCAACGGTCTCAATAGGAAAAGGTTCAAGATTCCTAAGTCACTACAGCAACAATCGTCAGGCCCATTTTCCAGAAAAGATATGAAAATACTGATCCAATAATGCTTATCAGAAATGTTTGGAATGAGAAGTGTTTGATATATATATATGTTTGTATATACATCGTGAGATATTATAGGGATGAAATCTACATCTAAATAAGAAGTTCATTTACATTTCATATACACCTTATACCCATAGCTTACAGGTGATTTTATATAATAATTTCATGCATCAAACAAAGTTTCCTGGTGTGGAATTTGCCATTTGTCATGCCATGTTGTCATTTAAAAAGTCTCAGATTTTTGGATTAAGGATGCTGAAGCTGCATGTATTATTCAGGAGCCTACACTCAGCAAGGATCTACTTTTGTTTATTGTAAGACCAACTTGTAGTCATGGGGGATGAAAGGAGGGAGGTAAACCCACCGCCTCCAGGTAGAATTATATTTAAAAAAAAAAAAAACAAAAACTAAAGGGGGATTGAATACTTACCCTCTTAATCAGTTTAGTTAGAAATGAATTTGTATGTCAGGAGCGCAATTCCTGTTGTCTGGCCGCTTGTAACCTAACTGGGAATAAGGAACATGTGCATATAAGAAAATGTTGAGTAGGGCAGCTCAACTCAGTGCTGGCAAATCAGCGACTGTGGACAGTGAGGGGCTGTCAGAGAAGAAAAACTGCCTCAGGCGCCATCGCCTAGAGGGTGGGGACGCTGTTTTGGCACTCCAGTGGAATTATGTATGAAGCCATCTGCTCTAGATACTGAGTCTGTGACCTTTGGTACATGACTTGACACTTTTGAGCCTAGATTCCTACCACTGTAACACAAACAACTGGACTTACCTCCTAGGGGGTTTTGCACAAGTTAGTAATACGATGCGTATGAACAACTCAGTACCGTGCTTAATGCATGCCAGCAACTAGGAAGTTCTAAGTACTGTTGCGGTTGTAGTCCATTGTTGCTACTGTACGCTAAACACTTTAGCTGGGCCTGAGTGATGATTAGAATTCACAGCTAAGTGAAACAGATAATGGCCCAAATGTGTTTCAAGGGTACACACAAGGGCCATCTTATGAGAACTGGGAGATTGCAAGGCAAAATGCCAGGTGACAAGGTAGGAGAGCGGAGGCCAGAGGGACAGACCCAGCCTACAAAGAAGGAAGTACAGGTGCTGAAAATGTAGAAGTCTTTTGACCTGGAACAAGTGGATGAAAACTTTTATTCTTGGAAAAAAAAACTATGGACAGGAGGAGGTAGAAGAAGGCTGGAGACAGGACACAAGACCGAGTCCAATATGAGAGGTCCATGCTCTAGCGATCAGAAGTAAAAGAGGAGTCCAAAGTAAGCAACCTATGGAAACCGCATGATTAGAATTCAGTGACCAGTAAGCAGGACTGGGTGTGTATATGAAATGATCGATGTCAAGCTCAGATGGTATAGAGAAGATGGCTTATCTCCAAGGTCATTCATACGTGCATCTAATAAAATACATTTTTGTTCCTACCGAATGTCATTTCTGGGGAAATCAGCAGAGAATAATATGGATCAACCATGAGCTTTGTCTGCTTAAAGCCTCCACTTACAGAGCCTGGAGGTTTGGGAGGAAGAGTCAGGCTTGGAAAACAAGCAGGTTGTGTGGCGGGTGTGAAGCTATGACCAGTCTTCCATGGGCCATGTGGACACAGCATCTTTGTGTGTCAGGAAACTGATGAGCTGACATCTGTCAATGCTGGTTGAGGAAGCTGGTAAAGCTACACCATGTCTTGGTTTCAATGTGAGAGAGTTAGACCAAAATGATCCAATAGCCCTAGGAGAAAATGCCATGTGGATTACTGAAGATGTTGCATTGGAGCTAGAAACAAATTCATGGAGGGTGAGCATGTGGGCAGAAGCAGTAATGAGTTGGATGTTTAAATATGCATCCAGAGCTGGAGATGTAGCTCAGTGGTAAACACGTAATCAGCTCATGCAAGGCTCTAGGTTCGACTCCGAACTCCACTCACAAAAAGGAAAAAAGTGCGTGAGTCCCTGGAGAAAATAGGACACATTTTGCAGAAACTTGTAGGAAATTCATTAAAGAAATACATCTACCAGTTCTCAGTTAAAACCATGAAGACTGTCTACATTTTGAGCAATGAATAACAACTTTTAAGTCTCGGAGATGTACATCTTCACTGTTGGTCTGTTTGAGAACTAAGCCCATAGCCATCTCCATCACATTGTGTGAGCTTAAAGAATTTAGCACTAGTCTTCTTTTATCTGCATTAGACTAGGAGTGGAAGATAAATTAGTGGAGCACAGTAGCAGATTTAAAGCTAAGTGATACACAAAATGACAACTGACTGAACCAATCCATGACACCATTTGCTTTACTATGAGGAAAAAATCAAGGATTGTCTATTTTTGCAGAATAATGGTACAGTGGTGATACAAATAGTTTCATGTATCTGACCTGCACCTTCAAGAAGAGATGAGACTGCGAAGCCACATTTTCCAGATGATAGAATCAGTGTGTATCATTTATTAACAGCCAGCAAACAAAATCAGGCCTAGGCTTCCCACCCAGCCCACCTTCAGCATCTCATTCAATCATCTCTGGGGCTCTAGCTCTGCATACTCTGCACACAGCCCCGTGAGCTGCAAGAAGGAAGAGGAGGAAGTGACCGAAGATGCATCTGGGGAGCAGAGGTCCCAGCCTCCTCCAGGTGGCTTTGATCAGATCCAAGAGAAGGGATGCAGGTGCCGAGATCCAT